ATAAGCTTCCAGATCATAGGGCAGGGAGAGTCAAATGACCTGTATAAATATTTATCATTCCTCGGTCAATCCCTGGAAGAAAGGGCCCAGAAGATGGCTGGGGAGGTGATACAAGTTTGGGAGGCCTTGCTAGAGTGTTCTTTCCTCTACAGGGAGGGTTCTAGTTCTCCTGAGGCTGCTGCTCCTAGGAGATAGTGAGACTAGAAATTGCAGTTGGGGACTTGGCAAAAGCTGGGTTGAGGGCCCAGGGAAGACTTGTAAAGGACTAGTGCAGGAAGGCACTGTCTGAAGTCCTGGTCTGGAGAAGGATCTTTTATCTCCCTCACCGAGGATCTCCTCGTGGAAGCTGGATGATTGTCAGCTCCTGGAACAATGTGTGTAAGATCTGGTTTGGGACTTTTATGTGTGACTGCAGTTATGAGGATTTTGTGTGAAGATTGTCCTCCTATTGATTTCTCTTTATCTTTTTGGAGTATCCTGAACCCTTCTCCTGTTTCAAGTGCTTCAGCAATAAATTCTATGAAGACATCTCTTAGACTACAGCTGTCAAACTGGTGTCCCTCCAGCTGTTGCCAAACTACAAGTCCCATGAGGCACTGCAAGATTGACAGTTACAAGCATGACTCCCAAAAGTAGAGGCATGATGGGACTTGTAGTTTCGCAATAACTGGAAGGCCACCAGTTTGACACCCCTGCCTTAGACTGAGCCTGTATTGTCCATGTGAGTGGATCTGTGCTTGTGGGAATGGTAGCCTCTGTACTAACAAGGGAGATCTGGGCATATTCTCAGCATCCCCTCTGGGGGTAAGTGCTGCACTTGTTTACACACAGCTGCCTTATTTTCGCCCACACACAGATCATATTGCCCCCAGGAGAGATGTTTATGCAAGACCTGGTCTTATGAGATGCCTTGGCCGTAAGACATAACTTGAGCAATGTAAATTATAGCCCTAGAAATAAATAACTCTATATTTTTCATTTATTAATACATTTATGACAGATGGAAAGAAGTCATGGGAATAGTGTGAAGCAATGGCTTACATATTTTTATCACTGTAATGTTTTTAATTGTATCTTGACATTGCAAGGAGAAATTTGGTGGGGCACTGTGTATTACTATGGAGTCCCAGATGAGATACACCTTTTAGCACAAAGTAGGTTGGCTAAGGGCAACCCCCTGCTACACCCCCAGTTATGTGGACCACGAAAAACTTAAATGCAAAAAAATGGTTGTCTTTTCCCCACATGCTGGCGTCTCAAAAAAAGCAAATGCAATTTTAAAAAAAAATTAGTGTGGTATAAGGGCTTGTACACAATACACTAAGTTCAAAACTGCAATGCACACATTTTATGATGGATCTGAATGTGGCTGTATGTTATGCAATGGGCCTATGCACACAGCTGCACACAGATCTGTATTCAGTTGCATTGGAAAAATAGAAACATTGATGTCCATGGTCCTGCATGTGGACTGTACTGAAAGCATTATGCAAGAAAACATTTGTGCCAATGTTTACATGCATTTAGTGTAAGTGAACTCTTTTGGCCCTGAAGGATGCCAATAGAGTCCAAGGATGCTAAGTGTCAGGAGTTCTAGCAACCAAGGATGCTAGCTGACAGGAGTAGTTTGCACTCTAGCAACCTAGGATGCCAGGTAGCAGGAGCTGTGTGTGTCCTAGCAACCAAGGATGCCAGGTGGCAAGAGTAGCTTGCACCCTAGCAACCAAGGATGCTAGGTGGCAGGAGTAGCTTGCACCCTAGCAACCTAGGATTCCAGGTGGCTGGAGCCACCTGCTTCCAAGAAACTGAGAATTCTAGGCAGTAGAAACCACCTGTGTCTTTGAAACGTAGGGGCTATGTGGCAGGAGTTTCCTGCATTCTAGCAACCTTGAATGCTTGACAATAGGGGCAGTCTGCATCCCAGCTCCAAAGGACCCTAGGAGGCAGGAGCAACATGCATCCTAGTAACTTAGACAGGAGCAACCTGCATCTTAGCAACTGAGGATGCCAAGCAGCAGAAACCTCCATAATGGCAAAAGCTGCTTGTATCCTAGCAACACTGAATGCTTGGTGGCAGGTTCTGCCTGCATCCTAGCAACCTAGGACACTAGGAAACAGCAGTCACCTGCTCCCGCCTACAAACGGAATCATAATGTAATCATCTCACTGCTCTCCTTCTGTGCACTATACAGCAGAGGAAACACGACTGGAAGCCAGTTATGTACTTTCTGGCTGTATTTCAACTTTAACTCTTCCCTGTTCTATCTAAAAAAAAATAAAAATAATCTTGGCTTTAAATATACCGAAACAGTACAATTTAATAGAGGTCCATACATCAGACCAAAAAGGAGGGACAAGTGAGGAGGAGAGAGGATATGGTTCCTAATGATGGATGGTTAGGAGCTGTGCGTCATGTATCATAGCTCCCATAGTTTCAGCAGTTAAAAAAGCTCCAGGTTGACCAGATCAATGTGTGTTCACTGACAGGGCATGCTGGGATTTGTAATAGTATCCAAATATTCACTCATTAGCTAGACTAAAGGGATTATACACTTTGCTCTTCGATATTTTTAACATGGCTCATCAAGTTGTCTTGGTGTTAACTACACTCATTCTATGATTGTTTATTTTAATTTCACAGTATGTTTTCCATGAGCTAAATCTGGCCTAGTTACAGTAAGATGCATATCTATAAGACCTTCTGAGGGATGTCCCAGACAACCAATAATTGTCCTTTCTCTGTGTTCTTCTCATTTTATGCCTTACCTTGTCCTTCTCTGAACCAACCATCTACTTGCAAACTGCCACCAGAGATGTATTAAAGTAGAACTTCAGAAAAAAACTTTTTTCCCCTAGTTTTGGGGAGAGTGGGAAATGTTGTTTTTTTTTTTAACTCAGGTTTTGGTTGCTGTCTGATGGCCTGTTTTGGAGATTCACTCTCCTGGAGACCATAGTTTTTATTAAGTGCAATGAAGAGGAGAAATATCCCAATCAGCGCATCTGTCAAAAGTGGAGATCTCCCCAATGGGGAAGCAGACAACGATAAAACACTGACATTGGTTTTAAACCTTCCCAACTCTGTCCAATGCTAGAAAAAGTTTTGGCTGATGTTCCTCTTTGCAGCAGAGAAGTTAATAAAAACTTGCAGGGTGGATGGTGCTTGGACATAGGCATGATATCAGTGCCACATAGAGCATGCCTTGAGGGAAACTTATGATATGCAGCCAAACAATTCATTTTTAAAGGATTACCCCATCCAACTGCAAACTCGTCTTGCTTGCAGCAAAGCAGGCTGTTGAAGCAGGCATGGTTTATTTATCACCTAGCACAGTGGATGCAAGTGGAATTCATGAAAGAACAGTCTGCGAGTTGTTAAAAATTGGAATCAATAAGGCATGTTGCTTGTCAATACATTTACCAACCAGAAAGTTTTATTTTAGCTTCCAAGTTGACTTTTGAAAAAAAAAATAATAGAGAAATCTAACCCTTTAAAAATAAAAGGCTGTGTATGTTTCTAACTGCACAAAATACAACTGGCCATTAAATATCTAGAAGTTATGCTACGGTAGATTGTTGATCTGAGGAGTATCCAATTACCTTGGGGAATCAGGATGAAATGTTTTTACTGTTAGAATAAATTGGATCATGCTTACTAATGTTAGTCACGCACAGCATATATTTTGGCCAATTCCTGCTGAATCATCCAAAATTTGAGCCGTGGGTGGCCCTGCCAGCACCATTTGGATCAACAAAAGGCATTTTAATAGCGACTGAGCCAAGTGGAAAACTGTTGGCTGAACAGTGACATCACCCTATCAGATGCTGTCATTGTTCAAGTATCCTGACAGCCATTGGTGCTGCAGTTGTCTGAAAACAATAGCAGTTAGGGGAGTTTCCTCTATCCATGTTGTTTAACATGGAGGGGGGAATCGACTGATTTCATATTGATGGGCTGAACAAAAGCAATTCTAGCCATGTGTGACTAGCCTAAAAGGTTTTTTTTTTGCCTTGCAACTGTGTGTTTCGGATTCTCAGGATTCAGTTTTGTCTATAGGTAGTAAATCTATGAAGCCTACCTTATAACAAAGATGGGATTATGTATCTAGAACAAGGTGGTTCCACATTTTTCACATCTCCCATCATGGAAATCAATGTCTACTCATTCCATGTTGACACTACAGGTGATGGTGCTACTTATACGGATAAAAGGCTGACGTATTTTCCTTACCCATTAAAACTGAAGAAGCAACATGGATAAGCTATGAAATGTCTTCAACATTAAAGAACAAGTTCAGCTGACCATGACTAACTACTACCAGATATACTATGACCAGGACGAATGAGAACCTCCATGGATAGAACAGGGTGGTTCTACAACTTTCACACCTGTTCTTGGAAATCCTTCATCTAGATCAGCCTTTCATAACCAGGGTTCCATGTACGTTTAAGGCTCCTCCAGAGGTTGCTAGAGGTTCAATGGACAATGATCAATTTCCCTGAGACCAGAAAGATATTTCAAGGGTTGAGAGAGGCTGATCTAGACATTCCATGAAAATTGAAGCAAGGTGTTGGTGCTAACTGTATGAATATAAATGTTGGGGTATCTTCCTGACCATCATTAGAGCTGAAGCAGTAGCATGGGGAAGCTATGAAACATCTTTAACATTACAGAACAAGTTCATTTGAATGTGACTAACTACTACCAGATACCATGACCTGAATAAATGAGAACCTTCACAGACATATGCTTTGAACTCAAAAGACATCTTTTTGCAATCATTTGTATGACAACCCTATAATTGGAAGCCAGAGAAAACCCAGGTGGGTCAAATTTGGTCTTTTTTTAATAAACAGAATGTGCTGTCATGAATAACAGGTTTGCACCCAATGACTGCTTCCAGCTTGTGCAGATAGAAGATCATGGTAGTGTTGCCGATTGTCATTTCATTATACAAATGTACAAATATTTCATATCCCTAGGTTAATAAATGGGTACTTACTCCCAGAATTCGGTGATGGGAGACACCTTGTCAGACAGTTCATCGCAGGTCAGGTTCCCATAGGTGGAATTGGAGGTACCATTGCTGCAGTCCTCTTGGCGAAATATCTCCACGCATTCCTGTGTGTTCCAGGTATTATTACAGTGTGACCAGGGCAGCACTGATGTGAACGACTTCACCAGGTAGTAAACGCCCCAGGTCAAGATCATAATGTAATACGTGTTGCAGAAAAACACAATCACCACCGAGGCAAACCCGATTCCTAAGGAGCAAACACACATAGGGATTGCTGTGAGTAAGCAGAAAAACAATGAATTTGTAGGAAGTTCTATAATTATTTAGGCTCTATTTTCACTTGAGCTGAGCATCTTTGGTCTTATACAGGCATTTTTATCTTAAGGATTTGTACAGCCATTTTTGCACACTTCAGGCTTGAGCATTTTGTAAAAATCATATTTATTTATTATTTCTAGCTAATGGAGAGCAGTTACTGGGCAGGAAAGAGTTAGTCACATTTTTCTTGCATTTTTCAGAAACTCTACATAGAGTCTATTGGGGCCAAAACGTCAGAAGCTTATGTACTTTTTCAAGAGGCAAGCTTCAAGATTCAAGTGACACTGTGCTCAGGGGTGTACAGGCACCATTAACTGTGATGGAAATCCTAATGTTGAGCATTAAAGAGCTTCTGTGAAGCTTCCAATTGTTCCAGTGTGAACGGGGCCTAAAGCTGAACGCCACGTAGATATAAAAGACACAAATGAATGCAGATATTTATTCATCATTACATCATTAAATGTTTTGTCCTACTGTATCATTTTCACCCTACTGCCCTTCTCCTTTCTTCCTTCATCCATTGTCTTATCCACCAGAACCCTCTGTCCCTTGACATTGACCTTTTCCATTGATCTTATAGTATATCCCTTGGTTTGCTTATGATTTAAACAGCTTAAAGACTAAGGAAGCTTCCCCACAAAGTTTCCTTTAGCTTTTGTCCTCACTCCCACTAAATAAATCAAGATCCAACCTCCCCCAACCTCCCTCCAATCGCCATATCGACCCAGATTGGACTCCAAAGCCTGCAACATTGTACACATTCTTTCACTGCCTTCTTGACCCAATGCCCGCACATGTGCAGTTCAACACCATTTATTTATTACAGGTATTTATATGGCACCAACAATTTATGCAGTGTTTATACTGTACATTCACATCAGTCCCTTCCCTTAAGAGCTCACAATCTAAGGTCGCTAGCTCACATGCATATATATTCTGGCCAATTTAGAGAGGAGACAATTACCCTACCAGCATGTCTTTGGAGTGTGGGAGGAAACCAGAGTGCCCACAAGAAACCTGCAAAAGCACAAGGAGAACAGGCAAACTCCATGCAGATAGTTCCATATCCATATATATATATATATATGGATGGGTTACATTTACAGGTGAAAGGGAAAGGAAACTTAGAAAATGTTAGTTTCCTTACCCTTTACTTAATAGGACAATTACATTTTGTGGCTGGAATTTACATGGAGAACATGAAAACTCCCACAGAGATAGTCCCATAGACTTAGGGGCTGGTAAATGATAGGAGTAGGCCATAGAACTATATCTAGGTAAATATGGCAGGTTGAAGGGAAGGCTGCATCTCAATTGGTCAGGTGAGGGCAAAAGGGAAAATTAAACTTTATGTTAAAGTTCCCTTATCCTTTAGTTTATAGGACAACTAAAATGTTTTTGGCTGGAATTTGCAGGGAGAACATGAAAACTCCACAGAGATAGTCCCATAGACTTAGGGGCTGGTAGATGATAGGAGTAGGCCATAGAACTATATCTAGGTAAATATGACAGGTTGAAGGGGAAGGGAAGGCTGCATCTCAATTGGGCAGGTGAGGGCAAAAGGGTAAGGAATCTTTATGTTAAAGTCCCTTATCCTTTAGTTTATAGGACAACTAAAATGTTTTTGGCTGGAATTTGCAGTGAGCACATGAAAACTCCATGAAGATAGTCCCATTGACCTCTATGGGGCTGGTACATAGGAGCAGGCCTTGGAACCAGATAACTATAGTGGCCTGAAGGGTGGCCTACATCTACATATAGTGGGTGGTAGGTAAAGAGGAACCCACCAAGATAAATAGAATGGTTTTGGACTTTATTGAAATAATAAATTGTTATAAACGACATCCACATTAGTCGCATTCCTCACGTGCGACAATATTCCCTTGTCAGTCCCGCTGTACTAAAGGAGTGAACATGGAAGGAGAACAAACCATTATATGTTATTTAATTAACACGAGGCAGCTCGGGGCTAGAACAGTACAAGCTTGTCAAACAAGAGGCAGGAACGCGGCTCACGCTTGGATTGGAAACGCTTTGCTGAGCTTGCATACATTAGTTTGGGGTCATGAGACTGTATGTAGAATTCAGTAAAGGTGAAAGCTAAATTAACCCGCCTGCTAATAAATGCAAGAATGTACGTGAAGCTAGGAGCATGGCATGTGAGGTTACGCTCCATCGGATGGATGAGTTCTATGGACCCCATTCATTATTTTCCTCTTACAAATGATTGATCCACAAACAGAAATGTTTGCACAGGAAAATAAGAGAATCTCTTTAACTCAATTACGTTTCATCTATATAAGTTCATTAACCTCTTGGCTCCCATGTGATGCATATAAGCCAGCGATTCTCAACCTTTTTTCAGTGAAGGCATCCTTAAAAATTATGGACAGTCCTGAGGCACCCTTTAAAATTATAGACAGTCTTGGGGCACCCATTCTAAAATGTGAAAAACTATCCTAATAGTTTTATATAATGCAGCAACATCCACACATGTAGGTCACCCAACATTAGAGGTGATTTATTCTTCCAAAGCAAATACAGTTTTTCAAACTGGTATTGACTAGTATTCCAATGTTTCTCTTCTCCTTCAGTTTTTCTTCATCACTGAGCTAATATGACCCAACCAGGGGCGGACTGACAACTCATGGGACCCCCGGGCAATAGGGGATCATGGGGCCCCTGTGTTCTTGTCCAAACTCAAAATAGCCTACGAAAAAGGTACCAGGGGCATCTCATGTGGGGCCCTTTACTGACCCTGGGCCCTCGGGCAGTGTCCGAGTTTTCAAATGGTCAGTCTGCCCCTGGACCCAACACTTATGGAGAGGGGCGGGGGAGGGTCAAACTAGGATGCTGTGCAGGCAGCTGACACCGTCCTTATCAACTGATGATGCCGTTGGTTGTCAGGACGCCGGCGGCTAGAAGGTGGTAATGGTGCACAATGAAAACCTGTGGCTTTGTGTAGCTTAAAGGCAGGCTTGTTCCACCCACTGGCTTGTATACAGGTTTTGTCCAATTTATAGACATTTTGCCAAGGCACCCCTGAAGAAGCCTCAAGGCACCCCAGGGTCCCTGGGCACCCTGGTTGAGAAAGGCTGATATAAGCAACAGAAAAGAGGGTGAGCATCAACACCCCAGTGCTCATGGCTGTGGATAAGGGGGAACCACCAGGCCTCCTGTAGGGGGAATGGGTGAATTTGATGTGGGCAGGGAGGGTGATTGCCACAGTGGGGATGTAAATACTAGAACTGATCCCCTGTATGACTCTCTCTGCAGCAGCTGAAAGCGGGTTTCTTCTCCTGTCCCTCCCACTGGTTTTCAGCTGCTGCAGAGAAAACAATAGAGAGGATCGGTTCCAGTAATTGCCGCCTGCCATACCCATCACCCTCCCTGTGAACCAGATGTTTCCCCCTGTGTGCCCCAGTGCTGTTGACCTCCCTCCTCTCCTTCCCACCGGCAGCTGCAATCACATGATAGCATGGTTCGGGATGGAGTGGGGGAAAGGTCTGGGAAATATGTCACACTTACCATTCCCTTCTTTTCCTGAACTAACACAATGAGTGATTGGTACCAATCACTGATTATGTTCATTCATAGCTGAAGCAGAGTAAACTGTGTGGTTGTTTTTTTTTTTTTGGGGGGGCCCTGTTAGGTTGGCTATATGGGGCCCTGTGGTCTGTATTAGCAGCCCTGCCAATGCCACACATATGTGTCCATTGAAGGCCAAGGTTTCCATACTGAGAGTGCACTGTGACTGAGCGTCCAGTCCCTAGTCCTCCCACACTTTTCATCAAGTCTTAACACCGGTGTCTTAGTGCATTCTGTCCTGATTCTATTAGTAGCAACATGCCCTGAAGAAGGGGAGGCTATTTGCCTGAAACGCGTTGGCTGTATTTGATGCTCCTAACCAATTAAAGTTTCAAAAATTCCTTCTATTGAGATGCACGTTTGCACCAAGTGCTCCTCAGTACACATAGTTACATAGTTAGTCTGGCTGAAAAAAAGACAAAAGTCCATCCAGTTCAACCATAGAAAAAAAAAAAAGTTATACTCCTATAATGGCTTTGATCCAGAGGAAGGCAAAAAATCCAGCAAAGCATGATCCAATTTGCTCCTGCAGGGGAAAAAAATCCATCCTGATCCCCCGAGAGGCATTCGGATATTCCCTGGATCAACTTTACCTGTAAATGTTAGTATCCAGTTATATTCTGTGTATCCAAGAAACAATCCAGGACTTTTATAAAGCGATCCTTGGAGCTGGCCAGAACCAACTCTTGAGGGAGTCTATTCCACATTTTCACAGCTCTTACTGTGAAGAAACCTTTCCGTGTTTGGAGATTAAATTTATTTTCCTCCAGACGTAAAGAGTGCCCCCTTGTCCTCTGTGATGACCTCAGGGTGAATAGCTCTACACCGAGTTCACTATATGAACCATTGATGTATTTATACATGGAAATCATATCCCCCCTTAGGTATTATACATGGAGATCATATCCCCCCTTATGTATTATACATGGAGATCATATCCCCCCTTATGTATTATACATGGAGATCATATCCCCCCTTATGTATTATACATGGAGATCATATCCCCCCTTATGTATTATACATGGAGATCATATCCCCCTTATGTATTATACATGGAGATCATATCCCCCTTATGTATTATACATGGTGATCATATCCCCCCTTATGTATTATACATGGTGATCATATCCCCCCTTATGTATTATACATGGTGATCATATCCCCCCTTATGTATTATACATGGAGATCATATCCCCCTTATGTATTATACATGGAGATCATATCCCCCCTTATGTATTATACATGGAGATCCTATCCTCCCTTATGTATTATACATGGAGATCATATCCCACTTTTGTATTATACATGGAGATCATATTCCCCCTTTTGCATTTATACATATTTGATCATATCCCCCCTTATGTATTATACATGGTGATCATATCCCCCCCCCTTATGTATTATACATGGAGATCATATCCCCCTTATGTATTATACATGGAGATCATATCCCCCTTATGTATTATACCTGGAGATCATATCCCCTTATGTATTATACATGGAGATCATATCCCCTTATGTATTATACATGGAGATCATATCCCCCCTTATGTATTATACATGGAGATCATATCCCCCTTATGTATTATACATGGAGATCATATCCCCCTTATGTATTATACATGGATCATATCCCCCTTATGATCATATCCCCCTTATGTATTATACATGGTGATCATATCCCCCCTTATGTATTATACATGGTGATCATATCCCCCTTATGCATTATACATGGAGATCATATCCCCCCTTATGTATTATACATGGAGATCATATCCCCCCTTATGTATTATACATGTAGATCATATCCCACTTTTGTATTATACATGGAGATCATATTCCCCCTTTTGCATTTATACATATTGATCATATCCCCCCCTTATGTATTATACATGGAGATCATATCCCCCTTTATGTATTACACATGGAGATCATATCCCCCCTTATGTATTATACATGGTGATCATATCCCCCCTTATGTATTATACATGGTGATCATATCCCCCCTTATGTATTATACATGCTGATCATATCCCCCCTTATGTATTATACATGGTGATTATATCCCCCTTATGTATTATACATGGAGATCATATCCCCCTTATGTAATTATACATGGTGATCATATCCCCCCTTATGTATTATACATGGTGATCATATCCCCCCTTATGTATTATACATGCTGATCATATCCCCCCTTATGTATTATACATGCTGATCATATCCCCCCTTATGTATTATACATGGTGATTATATCCCCCTTATGTATTATACATGGAGATCATATCCCCCCTTTTGCATTTATACATATTGATCATATCCCCCCCTTTTGTATTATACATGGAGATCATATCCCCCCTTATGTATTACACATGGAGATCATATCCCCCCTTATGTATTATACATGGAGATCATATCCCCCCTTATGTATTATACATGGTGATCATATCCCCCCTTATGTATTATACATGAAGATCATATCCCCCCCTTATGTATTATACATGGAGATCATATCCCCCGTTAATCTCCTCTTCTCAAGAGAGAATAAATTCAGTTCCTCTAATCTTTCCTCATAGCTGAGCTCCTCCATGCCTCTTATCAGTTCAGTTGCCCTTCTCTGTACTTTCTCCAGTTCCCAAAGTTCTTTTTGTGAATTGGTGCCCAAAACTGAACTGTATATTCCAGATGAGGTCTTACTAATGATTTGTACATCCAAGAATTTACCATACGGTGAGCTCTCCCTTTGTCGCTATCAGAGTGGTAGAAGCCTAGGACCAGAACAGGGTCCACCCATACTATATTTCAATCACAGATCAGAAAAATCACTTTATGATAGATCCATCAGAGCCAAAAAGGGGCAGATAAGGAAATTCATGGTTATGGTTAACAGACACTACACAGGTGATCATATCTGCAATTTTCTGACCTTGGAAAAGAGGGGCTATGTTCCATACTGCAATGCTTCCAGCCTTCATGAACTGTCCCAGGGCGATTTCCAGGAAGAAGATTGGAATTCCACCAAAGATGGCGATCAGGACATATGGAATGAGAAAAACACCTAAAAAAAAAAAAAAGGAAAAATAAAAATATTTGAATTTAAAACCAAAAATTGTCCACATCCTAATCACTATCACTGCCATGTAAACATATATACAGACTGAACTTTGTTTAAAGCTGAACTCCGGGCAGAAAAACTTTTGTGTAAATATTTTCCTTAATAGCTGCAAATGATTTAAATCCACTTTGAGTGTTCCAAGAGCCTTACAAACCCAGATATTACCTTGTAAAAGTAGCAGAGACATCATCCCTGTGCTGTAAACAGTATAATGCTGCTTCAGGTTGGTCTGCTGCTACAATCCCACACAACTCCCGCATGGGTGCAAGCACAGCTCATCACACTGAAAAATGTTTAAAGGATGAAATCCGGATCTGTGCACTTCAGATAAAGTCCATCTTTATTCTCATATAAAATGCAACAAAATACAGCAACCAATTACCTTGGGGAGATGAGGAAGGTCAACACGTTTTGGGATGCATGGTTACGTGCTAGAGCAGCATGAAACGTGTTGACCTTCCTCTTGCTTCCGCACCCTGCTGTAGGTTTCTGTGGTGGGTGGAGCTTGCTGGGCCCCTCCCACAGTTCTGTTCTCTCTGGTTATGTCCAGCACAGTGATGTAAAGGAAGAAATCCAGATGGCTGCACTCCAGAAAAAGGTCAATATTTATTCTCATATAAAAGGCAACAAAGCACAGCAACAAACCACCTTGGGGAGATGAAGAAGGTTAACGTGTTTTAGGATGCATGATTAAGTGCTAGAACAGCATGAAACGCGTTGACCTTCCGCATCTCCCCAAGGTGGTTGGTTGCTGTGCTTTGTTGCTTTTTATATGAGAATAAATATAGATTTTTTCTGGAGTGCAGCCATCTGGATTTCTTCCTTTACATCACAGTACTGTACATAACTAGAGGGAGCAGAACTGTGGGAGGGGCCCAGCAAGCTCCACCCACTACAGGAGGGGGCAGAAGCAAGACCAGTCACCCTGCATAAGGACAGAGGGCAGCAGTGAGCAGTCTTTATTACAGGAAGCTTGTGTAAGAATATACATGCCTCTTGTATTCAGACAATAGCTCAGCTTTTAGGAAGATATAAGAATACTCCAGGAAATGCAGTTATGTGTTCAATAAAAAATATTTAAATTGAAAGTGAACCTTCATTCCTAAAAGGGAGCACTATATAGCGGTTTGGCTCTGTATTTCTCAGCACTGTTCATCTGCCTTCTGTCAGTAATTTATGAAAGTGGTTTTTATATTTTAAAATGTGAATGCACTTTATTGAGCTTTCACAGATCATTTTTTCTAACAGTGAGCACTATGGGGGGTTTTTTCCCTCTTTTTCTAGCATTATTTTTGGGAGTTTCTCCCTGGATGGCTTTACCTTGCTGGAGCTGCTGTTCCTTGTATGCCTAATGGAGCCCTGTTGTTAGCACGCGACTGATATTTTTTAAACATATTTTGTGCTATTATATTTTAATGCGATAGGCATAGTGAGCGCAGTACTGATTCATACACAGCTAAAAAAGTTTCCATATGTATATTCCACCCAGGGGCAGAGTGACCATTCAGACACAGACACTGCCCTAGGGCCTGGGGTCAGTAGGGGACCCCATGAGATGCCCCTGGTACCTTTCATAACCTTTTTTGGGTGTGGTTTGCGTATGGGCGAGGACACAGGGGCCCCATAATCCTCTATTGCCAGGGGGGCCCCATGAGTTGTCAGTCCGCCCCTGATTCCACCTTTGTATTTAGTGGAGTTCAGATTTAAAAATCACTTGCAAAAAAAAAGAATAATAAAGTAGTTCCTTCAAACAGACAATCAGATCCTAACTTCAATTTTCAAGTATCCTGGGAAAATGAGAGCAAGAATTTGATTGGCTGCTCCAACAACACTTTTTCCCCAGGGTGGGAAATACGTTTGCTCTTACTACTAACACGCGCTTGTATACATCTGCTCTGAAATATCTAATATTTGAAAGCAAGCCAGATTTTAAACATCCTTAAAGATCAAGAGAAAGGTCTGTTTATAAATCTGCCATCGCCATTTGTACAAGCAGGAGACCTAATACTTGGGTGAGTCATCGCCATGGCTGGGGACGGTTTAATTTGTGTTTATGTCCAGTGCGCAGTGCAGGCGGTTTGATTTATAAGAGGATTCCAAGGATTAGGACATCAAGATAAGGTGACGTTGGTGCCGGCTGTAGGGGAGTGCAGTGACAAGGCCTGGCTGCCATTGCTGTATCAGGACTGCTGGGGAGGATGATGAAACAAATACTATGGAGGCTCCACTAAGGGCCAAAAATGCTGCATTTTATATATCTACAGCACAGTAGGGGTAAAGTGGAGCTCCTGGCTAATTGGTACATATATTGGCTATTTTATGAGCTCAGGGATTTGTAAATTTGAACAATTACTCTTGTGATTCAAACATGCTAGACTGCACAGCCTGGATGACTATTTTTTACCCAATGAGCAGGCTGGAGGTGACACCTCCTTGGCCTGGAAGCAAGTGTGTGTCATCTCCTTAGCCAAAATATGTGTGTCAAATGCTAATCGAAACATTGGGTGTTGCCTTCTTGGTAAGACAGTAAGTGCATCATCATATTTTGGGCAAAATATGCCACCTGCTTGGGCAAAACATGTGTGTCACCTGCTAAACCAGGAGGTCAGTGTGTCACGTTCTTGGTCAAGAAAAAAACGTGTTACCTCTTGGATAGGAGATAAGTCCGTCACCTGGTAAACCAGGAAGTCATTGTGTCACTTTCTTGGTCAAGAATTTTGTGCCAAGATATAAGTGTGTCAAATGTTAAGCAGGAAGTTGGTATGTTACTTTTTTAGTTACGAAATAGGTGTGTAATTTTCTAAACCAGGAGGTCAAAGTGTCACCTAATTGGTCAAGAAATGTGTTACCTCCTTGGATAGGAGATAAGTATGTCACTTTTCTGGCCAGAATATAAGAGTGTTACCTTATTGGCCAACAAATAAGTGTGTCACCTGATAAACTAGGAAGTCAGTGTGTCACCTGCTAAACCAGTGAGTCTGAGTGTCACCTTCTTGGACAGAAAATAAATGAGTCACCTCCTTGGCCAGGAAATAGTTTTGTAGCCACCTTGGCCAAAAAATGTGTGCCAAATGTCAAACCAGAAAGTCAATATGTCACCTTCTTGGTCAAGAAATAAGTATAAGAAATAAGTCAACTCCTTGGCCAGTAAAAAAGTGTGTCACCTGGTAAACCATAAGTCAGTATGTCACCTTCTTGGTCAAGAAATACTGTGTGTCTCCTGCATGGCCAGGAAATAGGTTGACCGAAATATAAGTGTGTCAAAGTTAAACCAGGAAGACAGTTTGTCACCCCCTCGGCCAGAAACCTTCTTAGCTAGGAAATAAAAGTGTCACCTGTTAAACCAGGAAGTTGATGTGTTACCTTCTTGGCCAAGAAATACATGTTTCAACTCCTTGGCCAGCAAATAGGTGTGTTGCCTCCTTGACCTAAATAGAAGTGTGCCAAATGCTAAACCAAGAAGTCAATATGTCACCTTCTTTGTCAAGAAATAACTGTGCCACCTCCATGGCCAGAAAATAAGTGTGTCCCCTGTTAAACCAGGAGGTCAGTGTGTCACCTTTTTGGTCAAAAAATAAATGTGTCACCTTCTTGGTTAGGAAATAGGTGTGTAGCACCTTTGGCCAAAATATAAGTGTGCCAAATGCTAAACCAGGAAGTCAATGTGTCACCTTCATGGTCAAAAAATAAGGTCCCCTCCTTGGCCAGGAAATAAGTGTGTCATCTGCTAAACCAAGAGGTCCGTGTGTCATCTTCTTGGTCAATATCGGACAAGATATACTGTAAGTGTTTCAGTATACCACCTTCTTGGTAAGGAAATACATGTCACCTGTTTGTGCAAAATTTAAGGTGTCACCTGCTAGGAGATCAGTATGCCACATTTTTGGTCAGAAAAGTATCAGCTCCATAGATAAGAGATAGGTGTGTCACCTTCTTGGCCAGAAAATAAGAGTGTCACCTCCTTGGCCAACATATAAGTGTGTCAAATGTTAAAGCAGGGAAGTCAATGTGTCACCTTCATGGTCAAGAAATGAGTGTGTCACCTCCTTGGCCAGGAAATAAGTGTTTCACCTGATAAACCAGAAAGTCGGTATATCACCTTCTGGTCAAGAAATTAGTGATTCCCCTGCTAAACCAGAAGGTCATTGTGTCTCCGTATTGGTAAAGAAATAGGTGTGTCACCTTCTTGGCCAGGAGGTCAGTGTGTCCACCACCTGGCTCTGTAGTGTGGCAGATGTATGTAAAGCACATGGCTGGCTAAACAGAACTGGAAATTCTTTATCAAGTAAAACAGTAAATGTATTTAGACTATATATCCAGCTGTTTGCTGGAAAATCTTTTTAATTCTAAAGAATAAAGCGTGCATATAATTCATTCAACAAAATAAGTTTGTTCTCAATAGGTTTCTTCTTTGAGATCCAGTGATGTTATCACTGGGTCTTGTTGCTGATCTTTGATCCGAGTTTGATCAGAGGTACTAGCAGACTGAAAATGTCACAGCACCCAGCCTTGATTCTTCTTTCAAGAGCATTCTATGTGAATAATATATCCTTGGCATTACATTAGATATGCACCCCTGCTGGCCATTGGGTGCTGCAGAATTTAGCTGTGCACTCTGCTAATCAGTTGCTTTATTTGTATCAAGCAACTGATCAGCAGATTGCACACCTAAGACATATGAAGCAGGCATGACCAACAGGATTCCACAGATGTATTTTTTTTCATAGAATTCTCAGAAACAAAATGACTGATGCCAGAGAAAGCTAATAGCTGTGAAAGGCAGGAAGCAATAGTATGGATCAGGATGAGGGGGGAATAATGATTGAAATGAATTTCTTATATCAAATGTAAATAGTAAGCCTAGGTAGCCAGATAATAAGGTTTGTACATAATATCTATTTGTTGTCTCATACTGGTACACCATGTCTAAATGAACAATTCATAT